ATGATAATGATAATACAAATGATAATGATAATTATGATAATGGTGATGGCAATAATGATAATGATAATGATAATGATAATAATGATGGTAATAATCATAATGATAATCATAATAACAATAACAATAATAATAATAATAATGGTAATAGTAATAACAATGATAATGATAATAACAATAACAATGAGTTATATGAATAACAGTAATAATATTGATAATAATGATAAGGATGATCATGATTATAAAGCAATAATGATATTAATAATAACAATGATAATAATGAGACTAGTAATATTGATGATGATAATGATCATGATAATAAACAAATAAAATCAACAACAACAATGATGATGCTAATGACAATATTAACAATAACAGCGATAATAATGATAATGACAATGTTGAAAAAGAATGATGATGATGTTCAGAATAATAGTATTGATGATAATTATAAAACTGTGATGATGGCAAGGCTGACATTGATAATAATGGTGATGATTGCTATAATAATGATAATGATAATGATGATGATAAAGATAGAGATGATAATGATGAAAATAATGACACTAATGACCAAAATGATAGCAATGATAGAAAAAATAATAATAAAAAATCAAAATAATAAAAAATAATGATAATAGTAATAAAGACTATAATATTGAAAATAATAATGATAATGAAATAATAATAATAAGGACAATAACAATAATAATAAACAATAATGATAACAATAATGGTAATGATAATACTAAAAACAATGAATGATGATGATAATAATAATCAAAATAACAATATAGTAATGATAATAATATGAAAATAATATTCATATTTGTCATGAAATAATGATAGCAATAATAATAACAGTAAATTTAATAATGACATCATTAATGATGATGATAATGAAAATTACCATGATAATAATAATGATAATAATAATAATAGCCATGGAAATAATGATAACAGTAATGAAATATTAACAATAATAATAATGACGATAATAATAACAATAATAACAACAATAATAACTATAATGATAATGATAGTGATACTGTTAATGATAACGATAATAATAATAGCAATAATGATAATGATACTAATAATAATGATAAATAATAGTAATAATGATAATGATAATAACAATTATGATGATGATGAACAACATCTAGGAACACTCAGATAGCGCATACCTCCGCCAAGGCATTAGGATCACTGATCCGGAGGTAATGGGTGATAATAATGGTAGTGATAATAATGATATGATAATGAAGGTTAAAACTCAACTTTGGTTAAAATCTCGTTAAAATGGGTTCATAACTTTTAGAAAATATTAGAAAACACAAAACAAAAAAACAAACAAATAAACAATCACAAACAAAGAAACAAACGGAAGTAACAATATAAATAAACAAAAGGTCATGGGATACACGAAAATTATCTATATGTGCTCATATACCTTATATACATACTTTCACATCGCCATGTAATTGTTTTTCGTCTTTCCACGGGGTCTGAGAGTGAAAATTGGCTACGTGACCCCGTAGAGTTATTCCGCAGATTTAAAAAGACGATTTTCATGTTCCACCACGCGTCGGCCCGGGGAAAAGTATGCGTTTGGTACCCGTTCGACAAATATTACGTCCGACTGGAGAAAAATTATTCTTTCGACAAATATTATACGTTGTAAAACCCCATTAGAGCAACAATAATAGGTAAATGATAGATAATTATGTCAAATACAAGTATTCTGTACATGATTTGTCATGTAAAATGTAAACATGATAAAAAGGAAAAAGATCGGGATTATTAGGTCCTTCACATTTTTATGCATAGCACACTTATTTTCGGTCCGATTGTAACGTATAATGGCTCATTTTGTAGCTGAATCATAGTTCTATTACATGCCGCCATAAGGATTTGCAATATCTTTATGTGGTTCTTGTAAAAGTGACATATGTTTTCAAAATATAATAGGGTGTTAAAATAGTCACCTTCGGAAAATATTCGTAAAAAATGTAAGGTCAACTTCTCAAAAATGGCTTCTGCATATAATAGTAGATAGTTCTATACAGACATGAAATCAGAATGGCTGTATTTTTTGGATTTTTGAGAAATTTTTAAAAGTGGTCAATGTAGGCCTATAGACCCCCAAATCACTGCCACCACTCCGCACTATACGTAAGATTTTGAGAAACCGTTACGCGCTGGCAATGTCCGCAAGACTTCGGAATGCAGGTAGATGATAGAGGATTATGGTGTAGGAAGACTAATCTTATACCTTGTTTTGTTGATACCAAGATAGCCTTGGAAAGATGAAGAAAACGTAAAATGCCGATATCTCGGAACTCCACCTTTGGGGGGGGGGCAAATCCTCACGGGCGCAATTTATGTCCAAAATTAACATATTATGGCTCATTTTATAGAAAATAAAATATCTACAACTTGTTCGAGAGCGTTTTCGCAATTTTTGCCTGTACTTCTTGTAAAAGTGATCAGTGTAAGAAAATTTTTACCTTTTTTTTCCTTGAAGTCCCCTTTTTCAAAAATTCACAAAAAAAATGAAGTCGAAATCGAAAAAACGCTCTCAAACAAGTAGCTATATAGCAGACGGTACCTTTAAGCACTCTTTTTATTTTCGTTGTGATATTAGGTACGTTTCTAGTTACCGCGTTTCCTTCTATCCGTGGTTCATTTGAGTTGTATGTAAAAGTCTTCCACTACTCTTACGATTTCATTCTTGTTGCATGTTACTTCTCCGTCTGGTTTCTCTATTGCATACATTTGATTTCTCCCTATTCATAGTCTCCTTTAAGCTGCTTTCATGCTGGTCCCTGAATTCACTGCTTCATTTATTATTTGAGTATTAAATTTCCGTACACCTTCCCTCTTCTTTTTATTTATAGTCTTTGTTAGTTCAACTAATTATATTCTATTCCTGTTTGACGATACTTTCATGACCATACGTTTTTGTGTTCTAGTTTCTACCAAGAGCTTGCTGCGGCTTCCTTTATAATGTCATTGAACTGTTTGTTAATTTGGTTAATGTTGAGATCTTTGTCGCTGAAAAGTGAATATCTGTTTTGGATGTCCGGCGGCTAGGGTTCGAAACCAAGTCGGAGAGTTTATTTATTCATCATACCAATGCGGTCGTGCATTATTACATCTTTCATTAAATACACCTCAGGCTTTCTGATTTCGAATTTGAACTGGTCTTTCCATATCTACCGAGTACCCACGGGGAGTGTGTGTAAAACTTCGCTATCCTTACTCAAGTATGAGTAGGTAGGTAATGTCTATGGAAGCTAGGTGGCTCCTAGTTGCACACTCCTTTTATTGGATCGTGTAGCAGTGGTAAGTGTCCGTCTTGCAACGGCGGCGAGGGTTCGAAACCCGATCGGGTTTGTATTCATTCATATACACCCATGTATACCCTCATGTACAAGCTCTTTTACTCGAACACATATAACACATGCATATAACACACACACACACATGGACACGTACACATATACACACATGCACCTGCGCACTTCTGTGCATACGGGTTCATACTTGTGCACAAACGTTTGAAACGTGTCTGCAAGAGCGTACATACGCACTCCATTAAAATGCAGCAGAGGGGTTGAGGGACGGAGGGAGGTGGTGTGGGAGGGGAGGATTAAGGATGACATTGGAATGGGTAAGGATGGGGTTTGGGGTTAGAGGAAGTTAGAAAGGTGATTTTGTATCGCAATTTTTCGGAGAGGAGTTGCATTCCTTAGCTGTTGCTAATCCTACCGGCGTGCGCCCTCGGCGGCGACCATCGTGGGATCAGCGTCTGTCGTTCTTCTGAGGTGCCATCGCTTGAATTACATTTCATTAATACATGGTTCATCTGGCGGATCTTCTGTCGAATGGCTGATTATACTTGTTCCTTTTGGGAACCATTTTGAAACCTTCCTGATTATGTGATGTACTTTACTTACATACTGGCGGTCTGGCTGTTCTTTATCTACTTAGGGGGAAACTGTGTGTGTGTGTGTGTGTGTGTGTGTGTGTGTGTGTGTGTGTGTGTGTGTGTGTGTGTGTGTGTGTGTGTGTGTGTGTGTGTGTGTGTGTGTGTCACACACAGACACGTGCGTACACATACATATATATAGATAGATGTGTGTGTGTGTGCTCTCCCGGTATACAAATTTTCATTTTGATTTAAACTAAATACATCCAAATTCATTAAAAAATGCCGGCCTCTGACAGAAATATATATACAATCATTTCTTACGAGGCATTTATCCAAGAATGTATAATGATTTCTATGAAGTGGCATAGAAGGAAGAAAGAACAAATGAGGGAAATAGAGCACAAAGGAGAAAAAGAACACAGGAATGACGGGAAAGATGAAAAAAAAAAAATGAGGGACAATGAAGGAAGAGAAGAGAAAGGGATAAATAGGAGCGAGAGAGAAAGGATGACAGGAAGGAGAAATGGAGAACGCAGTAGAAAATAAAAGAATGAGAAGATGGAAAGTGAAGGATAGCAGGGAAATAAGAAAAGAAAAAATAATGAGAAGCAAAGAAAAAACACTAAACAATAAGAGAAAGAACGACAGAAGTGAAGAACATAGAGAACGAACAAGAAAACAAAAGAAAGAGGGCAATTAAATTAAAGGGAAGAAGAACGAAAGTACACACACGTATGAACATAAAGGACAGAAACGCAATATGGGAGAAAACAAACACTAGAAACAGAAGCAGAAATAAAAGGAACAGAAATCACAAGGATGAGAGACAAAGGAGACTGAGAAAGAGAATTAACTTGTAAGAATGATGAAGAAAAAAATATAGATCGGAATGTGGGAGGATAGAGAACATAAAAGAATATAAACGTAGGAGAAAACAAACAACAGAACAGGAGAGCTAATGGTTATATCTATATATGTTGTAACTGTTACTTTCTCCTTAGAGAAAACGTCCCGAAAATTATCCAGACTTGCAAGATTGTTTTTCTAAGAATAATGAAACAAAACGTAGTCTTCTGTAAATTTATTTGCAGTCTAAATATAAATCTGAAGTACAAGTTACTCTTAATGTGACCATGTACACGGTAATACGAGCAGTAAAATATAGCTTTAAAAACAAGTACATTTCCTTTTCATTTGTATTATAAATGAGACGGTAGGAAAAGCTAGGAAAAACTGCTGATCACAGAGAGTTATTGCATACGTGGCTTGCATTTGCAATGGTCTTGTTTGTACTGAATACAGTTATTTCATTTCAGGGCAATAAAACCCTCTCATACTTATAACATACATGTAAAATCATGTGCAATTACAATCTCTATTCATAAAATCTCATTAGAATATTTATCCTCATTCTAATGCTCACACGTAAGTAATACTCATAGTAGTAGTATTTATATTAAATCTACTATTTAAATTTTTTTAGCTCTACCATCATATGAAAGAGCTGCTCTGAAGTATGTAGGAATACACTACACATTTTAAAATACGAAAAACCCATATTAAAAAGAACTGCTAAAAAAAACAAGGTTCATTGTAGCTTATAATAATCACAACAAAACTGTGACTATACTAAGCACTCCAACCTCTACTTGCATACACTAAAAAAGAGAAAAATAAAGTGTCATGAATTTTTGCAAAGCAGGGCAGTTGTCGAGAGAAAAGGGGGGGGTCATACAAGAACACAGAAAGCAGGAAACAGTTGCAACATTGTCTGTGTATGTCTGGTCCAGCCTTGACACACCAAACGTCATATCGTGAACTGTCCTCAAACTTAATCCAATACTGCATCCTAATCCATAAAATAAAAGTACTGTAATCAGTCACACAAACACTGCAAAACTGCCTTTCTTTTACATAGCTCTATATGCTGGATTTCTATTTTTTCCCTAAAAGGCCAGTGGCTATTTTTATTTAGTCTAAATAATTAGACACGTTTAAAAGAAGCTTATGCATAACATATGCATAACTTGGACAAACATTACATTTTTTTTTTCTTTACGGAAAGTTCTTCACCTGCTTCTTGAAGGCTTTATATATGTGAAACCACAAATCAAAAGGTTTCGCCTCCATTGGCTCTACCAAGAACTACGAACACTAGCCATGAACATAGTGTTCTATCTATCCATTCTTTATCTACAGAGGGCTGCAGAAAAAAAATCTTGTAGTAGACATAATTCGCCATTTCCTTCTCGAAAGCCTCACAAGAAAAAACAAAACACAGCAGCCACGATTCCCTATTACTCAAAGACTACATGATACAAAGGCTTAACTTGGCCACGAATTTCTTTTTTTAGCTTTTACATACAATTCGCGGCAGCCACGACTCTTCCTTCTCTTTCCCGGAGGCTTCAGGAGGACTTACTCTAGTCGTGGATCTGATCGGCATTGGCAAAGCGGACGTGCTGGTACCTCGAGTACAGGGCAGCTCGAAGCTCCAGGTAATGCTCATAGTCTCGAGTTTCTGCCATGACCTTCACCTGGTGGAATCACAAGGTCAAGAAAGGTGATGATTTTATTATTATTATTATTATTTATTTATTATTATTTTTTTTATATTTAGTTTTGTATATAGGTTTCTACGGTTGTGAATCATGGGTACACGACTTTTGGGGTACATGAGTTTAAATTTCTGGCTAATTCATGTTGTTTTTACTTATCGGGCCATAAACAAAGACGTAGGTTTTAGTATCTGGCTCAGAACAATATTTGCTTTACAAAGGATATAACCTATAGCCAAGTGAAATAACTAGTATGTTGAAATTAACTGTCCTCGTCCATACATCGATTAAAATGAATTCCAAATATTAATATGTGCTGTCCAAAATCAGGAACATTAACCTTACGACAAAGAAAACTGACTGCAAAGAGTAACTTTTTTTTCTTATAAAATAGGAAAAACATTATTTGAATTCCATATGGTCGAAAGGGTAACGAAAAATGCTAATCTACAAAGCATGGTGTCGTGAAAGGCATAACATTTTATATACATACATATATACATTCATACATATATGTATGTATATATATATATATATATTATATATATATTATATATTATATATTATATATATATATATATATATATTTACAGAAGTCATGTTCTTTATTAGCTTTGGTTCCATAAGTACTTGTTACCCTGATACATATCCTGAAAACGATGTGCAATAAATAAAAAAAGATCCTTTCTCCCATTTTCTATTTCTTACTCTATCTCTCTCGCGCATTCAGTCATTATCGTCTTTTATCTCTCTCACCAATTCTCTCTGTCTCTCTTTCACTCTGTCACTAATTCTCTCTCTCGTTTTCTTTCTCTTTCTCTTGTTCTTTGTCACTCTGTCTGTCTCTCTCTGTCACTCTCCCTCTCTTTCTTGCTCTCCCCTTCCATCTCTCTCTTTTTCTTTCTTTCTCTCTCTCTCTCTCTCTCTCTCTCTCTCTCTCTCTCTCTCTCTCTCTCTCTCTCTCTCTCTCTCTCTCTCTCTCTCTCTCCATACGCATGCACAATCCCACACGCATGTACATACACATCATTTCTCTCACTCCTCTGATCACACCCCACAGTGACCATGCCTATATGGTGGTATAAACCAGTACATATATACAAAGGCGTATACACATACATTGACATGAACAGAGCAAAAGCTGCAGTAGAGGCAGACGTACTTTTATCAGATACTGCTTTTCGCACCGTCCTTGTGTACGTTAAAAAAAATAACATGCTATGGTCTTGTCTTTTTTTTATCAAATAAATAAACACAAAGACGTTTCCACTGGTCTGTAAGAGAATATATTACACCAAATCCACCAACGTAAAACAAGTGAAGCAAACATAAAAACCCAAATAAATAATAATAAATACTAAATCTATTTCCACATGCCTTTTTTTTAAATACAAGCGACAGATCTCATGCACAGCTACCACAACACGCAAGGAGAGACAAGCAGCTACTACTCAACAACCAAAAGCAACAACAACAACAGAAAGCGCCATACGGGAGAGAGAGAGAAGATCGCGCAAGCAAGAAGAGGGAGGGAGTGAGGAGGAGGCGGGTGGATGGAAGAGCTAGTTCCTTTGCGAGGCGTCCGCCGGCGTGACCGCGAGGCTGCCGAAGCGGAGAATCTTGTAGCGCTGGTGGAGGGCCGAGCGCAGTTCCTCAGAGTGGTCCTTGTCGCGCGTCTCACAGAGCACCTTCACCTGCGAGACACCAGAGACACCACCGCATGCTTCACCTACACACTCAGAAGCTTCACCTTGCTAGGTTAGCCTTAAGGATTCTCCCCAAAGAGCCTTCCCTATTTTGGCTATGTTCCCTATCCCTCCTCATCTTGTTCTCTGGTCCTCATGTGGCCCTTCCCCTGAACCCCTGCTCTGTGTTAGGGACCAATCACCTATGCAAGGATTGAGTGGTCATTGTGCAATATTGATGGGGACTGAGATTTAACGTCTTAAGGTATTTTCAAATTACTGGAATAAATATTATGAAGATACCGATGAAGTACATTCCGTTTAATATGGATTTTTTTAGGAAATACTTTTTCTTCTTTTTTTGTCTCCCATCATATTACATAATGAACTTTCCCTGATATTCCCTGCGGAATTTTAAAGTTAATCCATTATATACATCCCTTTGGGTTATTAATTTCATGATTATTCCTCAATTTATTATACAG